TAAACTCAACTTTTTTGCTTGTTTGTTTTCTCTGTGTGATTTTCATTTTTCTCAGCTTCCTGTTTCAACGTCTAAAGAAAAGGCAACATTATATCCTGTGTTTGGATGTTTTACGTCGTGACGAAACGGTGCTTAGCTGCTAGATAGCTGCAGGCCAGAGACTGTTTGGAGACAAATCACATGCTCATAACACACCTTGTGTGAATTATTTTCACACAAGAATTATGCGTATTATCCTATGACTAGAAATAAGTCCAAACAGCTTGCAGCCAGCTGAATACCAGTGCTCAGCAACAGACAGTCAAAGCTGAATACCAGTGCTCAGCAACAGACAGTCAAAGATGCTTTCCTCTCTATTGGCTCCATATTTCTGTAAAAAAAAAAAAAAACCTGCTCATTTCGACAGGGTCTTTAAACACCTCATTAAACGGTTTATGATCTACAGATTGAGGGGAGATTTTTGCGTTTCTAAAAAAGCAATACGTTATCATAAAATGATTTGATGCTGGTAACTGGCCCCATGCATTTCTGTAAAAATCTGAAACGAGATAACACGAGTGAAACAAATTGCCATGTTATCTAATTTTACATATATGAACGCTGGAAGAAAAAACAAGTCAAAAACTTTTAATGAACCGTTTCAGAGACAATGACGTGTCCCCTTTTAGAGCCTTGTGCACAAGGAAATATGAAACACCTAAATTCATCCACTGTGTGCAGCAGGACAGGCAGTACAGGAAATACTTAGACATAATCTCACCTCTTGCCTCTTTCTCTCCTGAGGTGTGATTGTTTCCAGAATACCAGATTCCTGCACCTTTAAAAGACATAAACAGAAATCAGACATGAATCCCCAGCCTGTTTGTCTGGATATCTCAAACACAAGAGTTTTTAATACGAGTCAAAATATACATTTTTTTAACAGTCTTTCACATCCAAAAAACAGACCCGTCTTGCATTTCTGCAAAAGTATGAAACACTGATAAATAGAGCAGCGCGTAATTAAGTTAAGCTCTTATCAGAGTTCTTAGACTCGACTTGACTTCCTCTGCAAATCTGAAGGTTCACCTGAGGCAACTGGCTCCAGGTGAGGTGAGCTTGTTTATAGCTCTTCATCACGATGTTGTGGTCCTCCGCTGGACGCTTCACCACCACAAAGTCCTCCAGCAGCTCGTCCTGCTGGGTGGAGTCCAGGCCGCGCTCTCTGATCTCCTGGTACAGGCATGGCGTCGCTGGGGAGGGAACGGCCATCAACAGAAAACCATGAAGTGTCAATGAGAGACTCTCTTTCAAGGACTTCAAAAACACAGCCAGGAGTGTCAAAAAACGAGTTGTAGGATTGCTAAATTACAACAATGGAGCTTAATGTTTCTACTTACACCATGTCCAGTTTAATAAAATTCAGTTTTGAAGGCTCTTTAGAGATACGTTTGGAGCAGCTGACTCAATAAGTATATAAAAAAAATGAAAAACCTTTTAAAACTCCTAAAATCAGCAAAGACAAATCTGAAGGGAAAGGTCAAGTATCCACCGTTCAGGACTAAACAAGTGTTTATCAGGCCGAGAACGGTTTTCCACTTCTGTCCCTCTCTGCTGCCTCAAGCTCTTTTCAGAGACGTGACATGGGAGCCACTCAGCCCAAATTCAGACTGCCATGAATGATTTTCTGTTCGAGGAAGTCTGCAATGAGCAATGGAGTTTTACAAAGAAAAAAAAACATCAAACTTCAGTTATTTCCCAATCTATTTGTGTTCTGGTAACCCGATTTAGAAAAAGCAGACGAGAGTGACACATGAGGGGACATACCATCTTTGAATGAACCACGCTGGTTCCTCTTTCTGCCCAGGGATCGCTAGAGAGAACACAGCAGCACAGACTTTATTTCAGTCATGAATTATGGGTTTTAGTCACACACTTGAATAGAGAACTATTCAACATACAACATGGTTTCCACATGTTATGTAAACCTTCTACACTTACTTAGATTTTAATTCATTTTAAAGTAGAATTACAAAAGCTCACCATGAGTTTAAAGAACATGTCCTTGTGACAATGGGGAGAATCGTCTAAAAACTTTTTGCTGTACTTGATCTAGATCTGGAATTACAGACTTTTCCAGATCGCGCACAAACTCTGGATCTCTGGTCCAGTGAGAAGTGAAAAATTCAACATCATCAGAAGTGACTGAAGAGTAGAGAGAAACTAAATTGACGAATTGGACCAAATCACAATAAAATTTCACATTAGTTTTTAGTTCCTTTAAGCAAATATATTTAAATATCAAGACTGCTGGGAGATCAGTACCTCCAACTCCCTTTTGCTAGGGTAAAAATAAGCTAACAGTGTAAATAAAAAGTTTCTCTAGTGGGTTAAGTTGTGGCTAGAATTTAAGTTTTAACAAGAACTTCTTAGTGGCATAAATAAATAAATAAATAAATAAATAAATAAATAAATAAATAAACAAACAAACAAACAAACAAACAAATGCATTTTCTTTTTCATTCACAACATTTTGGTTGACCATCTCTACCTTGTGTCTACTGCTGAGAGAAGGACCAGGACTGCTTTCTCGGTTCTCATTGACCGATTTCAGAGTGGGTTTAGGCGCTGTCCCGGATGTCATGGCATCAATGTCCAGGCTGGTCACCGCCGCCCGATACGACTTGTTCCTGCGGTTCCTCCTGAAGGCAAACCCGTCTCCATCGCTGTCATACTCGTCCCGGGAGGAAACATCTGGACCCTGGGCTGAGTGACGGCTGCGGTTCTCGCTGTTTGAGTTCTCCAATCCCACCGGGAAGGTCACCACGGTGGTGTGGTGCCGATTCTTGGGTCGGCTTGACACTGCTAAGCTCTTGGGAATCAGCTGATAGGTACCTAGCTTCTTTGCTGCAGGGCTCTCTGTGCTCAAGATCACCTTTTGGGTCTCAGGCTTCTGTGCTGTTGGAGTCTCTGTGATGACCTGCTCCGGTACCACCAGCTTGTTCACCTCGTCTTCCTGTGGGGTGACTGTTTTAGACTGGAGTGTCGGGGAGCTTTTGGGTTGGAAGCCTTCATCTCCTGGCTCGTATATATGAAGTTCTGTGGAGAAGAGGGTCTCTATTTGAGGGGACTTGTTGTCCGTGCAGTTGTCTGACTCACTGTGGGACATGGTGTCCTCCTGCGGGTCTCCTCAGTTCTTCAGCACCTACAGCATTAGGGGGAATCTAAATAAGAAAAGCAAAACAAAAAGCAAGACATTAAACCTGGATTGCCACTGGACTAATGTATGGACCAACAGATGTATTAATAATCTTCAAACTTCTGAAATCTTCAAATATGACCACATTTTCAGTGGAAATATGTTAGGAAGTCATATTAAGGGACTTGACCAATGACTCATGTCTCACTCCCACTCACATATATAAAAAAAAACAACTCACACACATACAAAACTTCTCCTTCTGCTGTCTTAAAGTTACAAGAAAATAAACTCACACTGTTTCTAATAAATGTTTCCAACCTGCTCAGCCAGGAACTGATTCAAAAACCTATTATTAAGTAGACAACCCACCTCTTAACATGTTGTGACAGCCATGCTTAACCATACAGCTGGAAATTAGATCTGAGCGCAGTGTTCATACCGCACTAACCCTTAAAGTAAATAAACTAATAGCTTCACGCGAAATTCCTGTTAACATGCAGTACTTACTTTACAAATTCAATGTCGCGACACAGACGGATTAGTTTGTGGCAGGGAAAAAAAATGTCCGCCTCACATTCCCATGGTTAATAGATGCGGATTGACACGCAGTTAAAAACAGAGCGTCTTTACCTGCGAGAGGTGCACCTCAAACTCCAGCTGTAATCCGGTTGAGTGTCTGTCATGCGGCGGTGCTGCTGGCGGAGTAGCGGTCAGATTGAGCAGATACGCGGCTGTATTCCTCCGCCGCGCTGCTCCTTCGCTCCTCTGCCTTCTTCTGCTTACGTCACTCCAGGTGAGCGCCAATCAGTTACCGCTGAGCGAAGCTTTTCTTAATAACAAGTCCAACAGGAAGCAACTTCGACAACTTAGAAGAAGCTTCTTCTTTGACAACTCGCCAGGAACTTGACGGCAAACAATGAGGATTATGCTTTTAAAAAAATTAATTTGACTTTCATTCCAGCCACCCCACATGAATTTCTCATTTCAAAAATACAATAACGTTAGCGTGTCTGTTTAACTTTAACCTCTGAAATGTCAATACTATTTTTTGTTTGTTCTCACCTGACTAGTTAAAAACACGGCTCTTTGTCACCCCCTGGTGTTAAATAACATGTACTACACTTTGTTTTAAGATTTCAATCCATCACTGCAGAAACTCAAACAATAATCTTAATAAACACGTCCACTCTTTGAATACCAGTGCGATATATATTGGATTATTTATTTTTGTATGTAATTCCCTGATATTTTTTTTGAGCCTGGTGTAGGGTTACTTTGTCACTGCATGTTTCTAATTCACACAAACTTTGCTTTATGCCTTTGGCAAATGATTAGATGTTTTTTAGTTTTACATTTAGAAGCTACACCTCATCCAGCAGCTAAAGTTTTCAATTAATTTTACATTAATTTTCCATCAAGGTTGTGGGTAACTATCCAAAAATTGGCTTCTGGCATGGCACATGTCTGATTATTATTATTTTGTAACTAAGATAAGCTTAATTTTGCATGAATTACCTGAATCTTGTAGTGGAACTAGAATTTTTGTACGACAAACAGCAATGTTCAGATATGCAAATTAATTCATACTTTAATCAAGAGACTTGTATGAAAGTGTAGATGTGAGAAACAGCATTGTAAAATGGATTTGGATGACATTTTTTTGTTCAAAGAATAAATTATATAAGTGTTTAACTTTTCTTGCACTTTTATTTGTTGTTTCTTTGTAAGAACAATAAATTTAACTAAATATGTTTGCAGAACAACTTTAAAAACATCTCAACATACAGAGGAATAAATCAAGAGAAGCACACAAGCGATATTTAAATGATCTGAGGTTTATTCTGCTCATTTTTATCAGTCTGAAGTTATTATGACAAGAAAACAAGCCAACATTCTACATCCAAGCAAGGCTGGGACATGTAATATGAAATCTGGAAAAAATGAAAAGACAAAAAAAAATCTAAGGGTCACTATGTACAGAGTTTATATATTTATATATATATATATAGAAAATTAAATGGCAATGACGTACATCACTTTAAATTTTAATATCATATGGCATCTGATGAGAAGTGAGTCAGAATATTTCCAAATGATCAATCAAACCCGAACAGATGAATTAAAGAGATTATTTGTAATGATGAGATTACAAAAAGGGAAGAAAACTTTATTAAATGTAAATGCAACAATGCGTGCTCTATTTCAAAAATATTTATTTTCTAATGACCTTTAAACCAGTGGCTCCCTTTTTTTTTTTCCAATTTCTAACCCACGAAATTGAATATTGCTGTTTGATATACACAAACTTAACTAACATTTAACAAGTGTAGCTACAAGACAGCCTTAACTATTGCACTATTTTTATCCATTTACAACTACAGATTTTATCTTTATTTATTTTATTATAACTTTTAAGGTAAAAAAAAATGGAACAAATAATTATTTTTTAGTTTAACTTAAAGTTTGTTAGATAATCTAAAGACCACACACTTGGTGTTTCAAGACCCAAATGGGGGTCCTGACCCAGACTTTGGGAACCACTGCTCTAAACAGATCAACACCGTTCTAATGTTATATGGATTGTAAAAATATTTTTAAATTTGTGAAGGAGGAAATGATGAAATAGTTCTCAGCCTGAACTCTTAAAGGATCTCTAAAATGTCTAAAAGTGAATCATACGGTACTTTTCAGACGTCTTCCTCATCTTATACGTGCGACTGGTCAGTGTAAATTTCGAACACGCTAAAGCACGTCAACTCACCTAGCTAGCAGTGCAGTTTATCATTAGTGTGCCCGTCTGTGAGAGACAGAGTGGTCTCTCTGTGATGTGTAAGCAGATCTGTTCATCAAAGATTCATCCTGCAGCTCAGTGGGACGGAGGCAAGAAACAAGCGGATGGGTTCGGATCAGACGGCCGCTGTGGATCGCAGCTCTTTGTCTTATTTGTGTTCCAGGTATCCTTGTTATTAAACATTAAAAACATGTTTGATTCTTATAATGCAGCGATTCACAAAAAGATTCACAATCATGATTAAACAACGTAGTTTGACATTTCGGTCACATTAAAACGTTCTAATAATAAATTTGAGCTTTGTATTATTTTTCTGAGCCAAGAGCAGTTAATATGAAATTATGTTATAATTTTATATTAAAATTATAATTAATTTTTCTCAATTTATTATTATTCCAGATTCTTTGGAAAATAACCTTATCGAATGAACATTAATAAACTGTTAGCTTTGAGGTGGAATATAAATGAAACAACCAGTGGTAGTTTCTGCCAAAACACTGGCAGAATATTAAAGGGCTAATTAAGAGGTCATAAGAAATTAATAGCTTGCCTGCAGAAGTCACAGGGATTTATGTCTATTTATTTGCACTGAGTGGATATTCACACAGAAACTGATGAATATTTACATGGGAAGACAGAGGCAGGAAGTGGTCTGCTATCAAGGACTTTCCTGTTGGAAATGAACTGACAGTCGAACATGCAGAGCATTTCCATAAAAAAAATGACTGTTTTATCACCACAGATGCTTTACATTTTCTGTTGGCTTTCCAGCAGGAAGATTAATAGTAGCGCACTTCCTCCAAGCGCTTTGCACTGCATTCAGTCATTAATTTGTGTGTAAATATTCACCAGCTTTGGGGTAAATAACCTTCTAATCCAAATGTAACGACCAGCTAATCAGGATTTAAACAAAATGAAGCGACTGAGATGGACATCTGCAGAAGGTAAGATACCAGCTGCTTATAACCTTCTAAGAAAACCCCGTCTTTGAACAGCTGAACGATCCTGCAACAGCACAATAAGTGCATCTGTGAGCTTGACGCTAAATGCCACGACTAAGACGAAACATCGATGGGACACTGCTCATTCTTATTGATGCATTGGCTGCTTATTGATTACAAATTATATATCTGAACTACTTTTCTTTCGATTACAGTCTGAAAAATAGACAATTTCATAGCAACGTCACGTTTTTCATCTACCAAAAAACTTAAATCTCCTACGTGACGCATCTTCCAATAATTTGCGGTTTTGTAGAAATGTAAGCATACACCAGCTGTGATTTTGACTTCGTGTTCTTTAACAAGTGCCTTAGCAAAGAAAAAGAAGAAAAAAAAGCGGGTCAGTGCATGCCAGAAATGCTTTGCTAAACAATCATTTGTGTCCATGAGACTTTTAGTAAGAGGTGTAGGATCACTCTGCTGTGTTTCGCCCGAGCCGAGTCTCAGAGCTTGTGTGGACAGGCAGCAACCGCAGAAGCGAGCCTCAGTTACTGCGGGGCCCCGAAGAGTGACACAACAGAGTTTCAGGAGGGACGGGGAGACGAGCTCTCCTCACCTCTGTCTGTTCGGCGTGGGGTTAAAGAATGGAGGAGGGAGACACTTTGGACCGAGTGTGTGAGGGCGCAGAACGCTCCAGGGAAAACGGTCCAGGTCGTCATTTTTTGGCTATGTCTCCTTTCTTCAGGATGATCTGCCGCTGCCAGGGGGCCAGCTTGGTCTCATCGTAGCCCATGGTCCGTAGTCGCTCCAGCTCCTGCTTCTCCTCGGACTCCTTTGCCTGTTTGGCCTGCTGTTCTGCTTTTCTACAAAGGTCACAAACAGGAATTAGGATGGCATTGGAATTTTGTCTAACAAAGCAGCACAATATTTTACCTACTTGTGCTGCTGCACATACATATCATACATATTCTTTTTGCTATGTTTTACACAATGACTGAATAGTGTCATTGTGAAGGTATATTTAACTTCAGGTACTCTTCTTTTAATTATTACTTTGTATCTTGCATCCATAGGATTAAAGTTTCCTAAAAAAAACAAACAAAAAAAAAAACCTTCCTGTTTCATTGCTTTGAATCTATCTGCCACTCAAGAAATGTGTACACATCTCATCTTTGTGACTGGAAATGTTCTTAAAATCCAATTTAAAGAAGGATTTTGTTGTTGTTGTGTAAATACAGCTCTGGTATATTATAAAACAATGTTCTGGACTGAAAAGGAGCAGGGACCCAGCCCAAAGCTGCAAATTAGAAAAAGTCTGATTCCTAGGATGCAAATGACAAAGAAATCAGGGATGAGTCGAGTCTTTTGCAAAGCAGCAGGCCACATTTCCTTCTTGTGGACCTTCTTCATGTCAGACAGTGCTGACTGAAAGAAATAGTCTTAAGCCAAGATGAACTCTTGAAGGCACTGAATCAGGTAGAATGAATGCGTGGATAAATCTTAATGTCAATAACTTACAGGCAGACCTCTAAATTAATTATTCATTGTAAGTTCCTTCTAATAGGCTGAGTTTGCAAATGACAGAAACCTACAACTCCGTGTTGTGCAAGTGTGCTTCAGAGCAATCTGCAAAGTTCACATAGGGAGGAACTTTAAGGCAAAGTTTTGTTCAACTTTTAAGATATTCAGCTGATAGTTCACTCCTGTAATAATCCTCTGTTATCCTATCCATAACATAATGCTGAAGGAAGTTTCCTACGATCAGCTGTGCTCAACCTGCTGTGCTGAAATATATCCAGATTTGATCTGGCATCTCAAACACCAGCTGAACTATTTGTTCTTGTGTTGTGAATTACACTGTGAAGAAACATCTGCATTTCTCTCAGTATTTGCAAATGTCTGTAACATTCGTTAATTGTGATTTATATAATAAGGTGATTATTTTTGACTCGACATTCAATGCGTCTACCCAAATTTGCAAATGAAAAAAGGGATTTCATTTGTTTTGTACCTCAATCCATTTAAATGGTTTATTTTGAATGTTAAAATCATTAGTGCGTGAAGCAAAAGAAACATCTTACCTTTTTTGTTCCCTGTCACATCAGGAGGTCAAAAACAAAAGAGAGAAGGCGTAAATATCTTGAAACAGTGAACAGGAATTATACAAGCTACATTAGCAATATCACGCAGACAGCTGCAGGATAAAGTCATTCTAATTCTGCTCAAAATTAGAATTTGGACTAGATATTACTAAAAACATGAACATCCTGGAGTTAGTCTTCAAATAAGGAGCTGTAAGCAGATTTCCATCTTTCCACCGCCTATACTTCCTGCCTCCTTACAGGGAAGCTGAAGCAAATTTGACTGAAATTTAGCAATGCAAAGAGAACAAGTGACTACATTACTTCTCTGCTTTAACATGAACGCTTAATGCAGCCAGAGAATGAGAGAAATCGTCGCTTTTTAATTTGTGTTGAAATTTAAAACAGACATCTAATGATGTCAGGATCGTCAGGGTTATGTTTTACTTGAATAGAGTCAGGGTACAAGGATATAAATAACATAAACAGCATTAAGGACCCTGTAATTTACATGCAGAGAAAGCAAAACGTATATTTCTCACAACTTAAAAAGAAGCAAGGTTGGCACTGACTGTAAAATACTTACGATGTTTTTATTTACCTGATAACTTCCCTTTTAAGGAGTTTGTTCATAACATTCTAATAATAAATGCTGTTGTGGGGATTTTAGAGAGAGGAAACAAACTCCTGAAGAGAAATAATCTTGGTTTCTTGTCATGCAAAACTAAAATTTGTAGAATCATGCTTTGTTGACTACGTAAATGCATTCACTTGTCATTTTGCATGTTGAATATTATTTATCAACTGTGTTTTATTACTAACCATGCTTTCTCACTTATCTTCTTGTTAATGCTAATGTGAACTGGCTCAGGCTTCTGACTGTGTCTCTCTTATTGATAGAAAAAGAAGGAAATTTAGCGATGCTAATTCCACGAGTGCAAGGAAAAAAAATCTTCACTCTGAACTTCATCTACAGAGCTTTATGATGCTGAATGAGTTGGAGAAAAAGACATTTCCAAACTGTGCAGTTTATTTCTCTGCTGTGTGATCTTTGTATATCTAACCTGTGTTGCAACTATCTTGGCCAGGTCTCTTGAGATCACAGGGAGAACACACGGCTGAATAATTAAAGCAAGCAAACGGATGGCTGAGCTCGGGAACAAAACGGGATTTCGTTATTTGATGTCATGGCAACAAAGGTTGCGATCTACTTCAATGAGGAAACTGGTGAAGTGAAGCGGCTACATATTGGGCTTTCAAAAATTTCCTGTGAAACACTGTAAAAAAAAAAAAAAAAAGACCAACAGCCTTATTACTCACCTCTCCTCGTCCATTTTCTTCTTCATCATGTCCCTCCTCCAGGCTGGCATTGACGCCAGGCGCTTTGCTTCCTCTTCAGCCTGCGAGGACACAGAGAGGGTCCGAGATGGGGGCAAAAAAACGGGGACCCAAATCGGTCAGTTGTGGCGTTTAAACTCAGACTGTATACCTCAAAACCACCCAACTATTTTTAAGGATCACCAGCCGTGCTAAACAGACGACCAGTAAAATCTCCAAATACACGTGACGTTCAATTGTTTATGAAGCAGTCATGTTTTTTTTTTTTATGTTTTTGGCGGTAGCTAAAAATTAGGGAAAAAAAAAGACATGTTGAACCTATGGGTAGGAAAACGGCAAACTCCAGATTTGATGTAGCTGTAAAATGAACAGAATCAAAAGTGATAACAAATCCATGAGAGCATCAGTGGTGCTGCTGAAGTGTGTATTTGCTGGTAAATCCCTGCTCCGAGCTGAAAGAGCAGGCATACACCTGCAGGGAGAAACAGTGCTGAAACATGAATCCAACGTCTATTCATAATTCCATGTACAATTTTCCTAAACAAAGGGCCATTATAAAAGACAAATTCTCAACAAAGCACCCCTCTTTAAACAGTTGGATAAATTTTCAGAAGCAAACACACCTCACAATGTCTACTACCTCTCGTCTTTTTTTTTTGTTAGGAACAAGATAAACGCTGTTAAATGATCACATCATTGCTTTGGAGAATGTTTGCATTGAGAAATAAATGTAACTGGATCCTTTTTTCTCTTTGCGTCTGTAGCAGAGGGTGGAACAGCAGGAAAGGAGAGGAGAGCGCAGCAGTGTTAGATTTCTCATCCTCGCCTGAGATACGTTACCCCCTTCCTTTCTCAACCCTTTTACTAGAGGATTTCGCTGTAGCTATGGTGACTCCAGGTAACATTACCTGCTTCGTGAATTTTTAATAGTTCCCTAGGGAATTATTGCAAAGAAAAAAAAGAAGCTGTTAGAAATCCTTTTTTTTCTTTTTGAATTTCTAATTTGATCAAAATAAAATAAATTGGTCAAAGGTGAACTGTGCTAAGACTGGACACAGCAGTTTATTTGTGCTAGTGGTTTCAGTTCTGATTTTCGTATTAGTTCAATTTAAAATAAAATGCATATAAAGTTAAAGTCCGCATGTACTAATAAGAGTCTGTCAACTTTCTAATGTTTAAGTCGTTAAACTTGAACTATGGTAATGTTAACGTTTGTCTTTTGGTGCACCAATTATCTTGGGTTAACACAGAAAGTCAAAACATCTTCATGTCTTCCTTCATCTAGAAAATGTGTAACAATTTTGTAAACTTTATTTTCAACACGTGCTGGTCTTTGGCGCCAGTACTTGGATTTCTTTTTAAGTCACCAGACTTAAAAAGAAATGGCTGAGCTCTGGAACAAAACGAGATCTGGAACCATCAATAAAATTACCCCTACTACTTGCACATCGAACGTGAAGAAATATTGAGGCATTTGAAAATACGGTATGAGTTTATGGGATAGGAGTTCATAAGCCTCTTACTTCTTCCTTTTTGAGCATGTTAAGATTATTGTGGTACAAAAAAGTCTGTCTTTTGCATTCCTTGTTTATGTGTGTGATTTTATACTTACGTCATGTTTGAAATAAATAAAAAATAAATAAACTTAGTAACTTGCTTGCAACTTGCTATTTATTTATTTATAGAACTGATCTCAACCTTTCTGATGGTCTTTCAAAGATTTTTTTTCTCTAGACATTTGTGGTCTTTTTTTTGTTTTTGTTTTGTTTTTTTAAGAATTTCCAATCCAATAGAAGTTGAATATTCTCTTTTGCTAAGGGACTTGAAACCTTTTTACCCATTTTGTTAGTTGAATCAATGGAAAATCCCAAAGACAGAAAAATATAGACAGAAGAACATACACTAAAATATTAGTGTAGCTGACAAAAAAAAAATCTGTTTGCTGAAAATTTGGCCTGGACTAGATGCGTTTCTGAGGTGCATAGGGTCTTTTCTTCTCCTCGTGCCTTTTAGTGGCTAAATACGATGAAAGGATCACTCTTCAAAAAGTAACAAATACATTTTGTCTTTGAATAGGAGCCTTAAAAACTCAAACTCACTCCTGGACACCAAGCAACTAGCTGAGGGACAATTTGGAGGTGTGCAAACTTCAAGCTTCCCAATATTTCTTTTGAATATTTTAGATATGCACAACAAAAATATATATTTGTGAATAGGCAGATTTTCTGCAAATAATTTGGAGTTACGCTCCAAAGAAAAGTCAGAGAATCATGAACTGCAACTGGGCAGGGATCGACTTTAATCGTCTTTTCTTCTGTTTTATAATTGACCTACAACTTTGATCTATAATCAATATTCTGTAGCACTTTATCACTCAAACTAATATGGATTACTATAAGTACAGACTCTGTAGGTGTCGTAATCCTTAAAATCAAGCAATCAGTACATGAACTGATGAATGTGAAAGTGACTCCTTAAAGTAAAATGGGCATTCGTCAACCGCCTGAATGACTTCCTTTGGAGCTGTGAGGTGATGAAGATTCACAGTAACCTCCTTATGGCTCCTGTAAGCCATGGATAGCATGACAGCAGGTGGCACTAAGAGGGTTACATGAAGGTAATCTTGATGCCACAGAAAAGACACTATGAGAATATCGAAGCCACTGGCAGATCTCTGGAGGACTTCACACGGAGGAACCGAGTGTCTAAAGGGGCTCTGTCGCTGGAATCAGACTGGGGTCTGAGAGGGAACTGAAGCCTGGTAGGCAGAGCTTGGGAAAACGATTTAGAACTTGTACAAACACAAACATTTTCTATAAACTTTATTTTTGACAGTAACGTAAGAATGAGGTAAAAACACAATTCAGTTCCAGAATGTGAAAAAAAAAAAATCTGTGAAACACACCTTAATATCAGAAATACAGCAAAACCCATAAATACTAAGGGATTTGTGCAAACTTCACATTTGAATGTTCCGAGAGTTAGAGCATTGAATATGAAATTCTTGTATTAGCTCAAAGAAATCTGTCATCAAATTTTAAAGAAATTCTTCCCTACCACAAACCACAAAGTGCTCTTAAACCATGACGACAATATCCGAGCATCAAAGTAACAACCAACTCATTGAGCAATTTCTATCAGGAATAAAATGATATGGTCTTTATTGTTTTTTTTTTTTTTTTTTTTTTTTTTTTTTTTTTAAAAAAAATTTTGAACTTGATATTTCAAAACAAATTTTGAACTTTGTCTTTTTCCGATAGAGCTTCAGAAAAAGACAAAACCACAAAAATGTGGACAATATGACAAAAAATAAAAAAAAAGATTTTACCACACAGATTTTATTGCAGCTACGCTCATTGTTTCACACCTGGTTTGTAAATTTCTGCAGGTGGATTTTATTCGGATTTATCGCAGAGTTCACTTTGTTGTCCTGAAAGTTGGAACTCAGACCTGGAAATGATGCCACATCAGATCTCTTCACATTCTAGTTATAAGTCAGACAAACAGAGATGCAAACTACTGGTAGAAAAATACACTGATAAACATGTATTTATCTCCATTTTACTACTTCAAACAGTAAAGAAACATGTTAACAAGTGGGGGTTTTAAAGAACCTTCTGATGCCTCTGGTGAAATGATATAAAGAAAACTGTCAGATATGCTAAAGAATAATTAAATACCTTCAACTTGACCTTCACTATGTTTTTTAAACGTATACTTGATGTTGAACCTGAGGCTGATTGGAGAGCTGCAACTTTCCTTTCTGTAATCCAGGGGGTTTATGCTCAAAGTCTGGCTGGGAGCTCAGAAAATACAATTTCCAATTTCAAACACAATAAACTATTATTTTAAACTAAGCTTGTGACTAGAAATAAAAATAGTGTCAAATCACAATTTGACAATTCTGTCAAGGTGATGACCTGTTTGGCTGTTCTGTACTATGGACTTTTTTTAGTAAAACAAGCAAGCTAATATGTACTTAATGTGTTCAATGAGTGTTATTCCTATTATTTCACAAATTACAATTGTTTTCATTAGTCATTAGTCATGTTGGGAAGGATTATTTTGAAAAATAGAGCATGGCAGAGCTTCTCCTGTCAAATGTGATCACTGGATTATTACTGAACCTCCTCTCAATCATGATTGGACAAGGCATTTCAGCAGTCAGCCAAAAAGCCGCTGGTGTTTCATATCATTATATATCATTATATGGAATAACAAGAGGGGCCATTGATGGCTCAAACATTTATGTCTTGCGACTGATGGAAGAACTACAATAGGACAAACTATTCACCACAGAGAATAAACAAATCACATTTTTAAATGGCAAATCTCTTCTTTAAAGATTATTTTGAGATCATGGCTTCATTTAAAGCTGCTCTTTATTTAAATGTTCTCACTTGAACTCAGTTCAGAATAAATCGTCAGCTCTGTCTCTCAATCAGAGCATATACAAATGGGAATGTCAGCACAACCAAATGAAGGCTATTTGCTGTAGTTTAATCCCCTCGGTGACACAGCCTAAATGCTAACGCTCCTGATTAGTTTCCCTTTTCAGTAGGTTGAACTGTGCAGATTAGCCTCTCAGGTCCAGCACCATCTCTGGTGGTGGACACTGCAGTTAGATGTCAAAAAGCTCAGCTTCCTTCTCCTTCCAAAAGGCAAAGCTTCGGTCAATGTATCTGATGATTTCCTCATTGCTGAACTCTTTGAGATCATAAATAACTTTAATCGCATCCTCAGAAGTTTCATCTCTGGGTGAAGCTTGATCAACGCGTGGTTCTTCTGCGAATCTAACTTTCACAGGTGGAAGGTCTTTCTTTGGTTCTGATCCTGCATTGTCCATGGAGGTCTGTTTTGCCTCCACTTTTGTTGCACTTTCGGATTTCAAGTCCCTCTTCGATACAATCCCAGACTCATTTGAAGGCATCTGCCCATTGGTTGCCACAGTCTCTGGAGCATTGGCCTCCAACAAAGTTCTGTTGTCAGACACACCGTTCTCGGCAGCAGTAGGTGATACTGATGGAGGAACATCTAATTGGGAGGCTGGCGGAGATGGTTGTGTTGTCACTCCAGATGTTGTAGACTGTGGATTTGGAGGTGGGGGTGGAGGACAGGCAGGTGGAGGCGGGGGTGGGAGGGATTCATGCAGTGCAGACATTTCAGGAGATACAAAATTTAGAGATGTCGTCATCACACCTCCCCCATCAGCCACGTCTCCAAAATGCTTGACTTTTATGTCCTCAAAGCCATCTGCCCAGTCTCGTTTCCCACTCTCGATTTCCACCATCACTTCCTTGTGAAACTGTCTTATCACTTCCCATTTGTGGCTGCCAAGGCGGTCGAACATCTCGTAGCACATGAGGTGGCGGAACTTCCGCTCCCTGCGAGACATGTTCATTTCCAGTAACTGGAAGTACCCAAGCATGAAGAGGTCAAGGGTTAAGCTCTCATAGCTCACAGGGGAGCCATTGAAGTGTGGCAGGAAGTGCTCCGGCCAGTAGATCATCTGGGCCCGGCTTAGCCGCCGGATCTGCCGTGACGGGACTTGGCTCATAATTGATCTCCAGTGGCCAATCAGATTGCCAACCACTTGCTTTGACTTCATAAACATAATCATCTTATCATCTTCACTGTGCACTTCATCACCCATTTGAGCATTGAACTGGCTGTAGTCCTCACAGCCCACGTCCAAGTAGTTTCCCCTCCTGCCTGTGTGTTTAGTCCAATAAGATTCTGAGATGGTATACTTCCTCCAGTGTTCAAGGAACAAAAGGACGATCCTCTCTTTCCTCATTTCGATGCACTCCTGGACATAGCTTAGATCAGTCTGCACCTCCAAGCTTCGTTTTAGGTGATTGTCAGTTAAAACAGGGTCTGAAGAAAGAGCCTGGTTGAACTCTTTTGTTGGAGCCATTGCCTCAGAGGAGACATACAACGGAGAAACATAGGTTTTGGTAACAACTGGTTCTTCAACAAGTGGTAAGACAGATTCTTCTACAGGTGGCAAAGGCCCATTGCTCCTATAGTCAGGAACTGTAGTGGCAGAGGAAGGAACACTGCTATTGCTGGTTGGCTCTAGACTATAACTTGACACACTAACCACTGGAAGTGACATCTTGCGTTTGTAAACCCTATCAGATGGGTCATTTGTAGACTGTGTCTGAGTTTGAAGCTCATAATTGGCCTTCAGGTTCTTCACAGAAACTCCACACTGCTTTATCTCCCTTTCCACGTCTTCTCTTGTTGAGAAGGACTGGGATCGCCCAATGTTCCCAGTGCCAACAGATGTTTGACACTGGCCTGCAGTAATATTCTTTGCTTCTTCTTGAGAATTTCCGGAAAGAATAAAATCCAAGATGTCTATCTCCTTGCCTCCAAGGGTGGCAAGGAGGATCGCCATGCTCTTGAGCAGGGTGGAGATTTTGCTGCACCAGGCTGGGAGATCTTCAGCTTGCCCATGCACTTGTTTTGGATTGACTGAGAAATACTCCTGATTAAGAGCAGCAGAGACCGGTAGTAGCTGGTGAAGCTCTCGCTCCAGTTCCTCCAGGTCCTTCTCAACTTCTGACATCTTATGCATGACCTGCAGGTTCTCGATTTGTTTCTCAATTCGATTTAGGTCAGCTTCGGTCATCAACTCCCCAAACGGGCCTAAAATGGCATTGTGGACGTGGGAGAAGTGCCATTCCTGAGGTTGGTAGTGTCCACTTGACGCAAACTAAATCAGAGGTCAAAGGAGACCGACAGGACAAGAGGAAAAAAAAAAGAAGGAAGGAGGGTTTCCTTCAGCAGGATGTTCCTTGTTTCAAACACGCTTCAGAGCAAATCCATTCCAACACACAGGATTTACATGGATTTAGTGGTGCAATGGCACAACCTCATTACAGGCATTAAAGTCTGTGCTGTAATTTAGAGTCAAAGCAAACAGAGAAACCATTGTTCTTTTTGAATGAACCAGCAAAATTAAGTGCTGAACTGACCATATTTGCCGAAACTCAAAATCAGCTTTGAAGTTCCCACGTCTCTATTGCTGTCCTTCGGGACATTGTACACCTATACAAACTATTATTCTAACACCTTTAAATCCTATTTGGGCCCTTGCTACAGGTACAACAGACACATCAGTCCTCCCAGCAACGGAGAGGACCGTATCAGGTGTGTGAACAATGCAATAAAGTTAAAACTGCTTGTATTGGTCATTGCCTAAGGAAAAAAAGATTACTCTGCAGCAAAGTGTTATCGGCAACCCTGGTAAAAAATATTTAGAAAGTCTTAAAATCAAATGAAACGAAAGCAAAAACGAAAGACAACAATCCTCAACTTTTAAACTATTACTAAGCATTTTTTGTACATAAGCATTTTATCATTGTCAAAATGCTGTTTAAGGGACTTTGGTGGCACTATTACTGGTTGACCTGTAGTGTGAATGGGGCCCATCATCACACCACTGAATCTGCATGTAAGGACTTGAAGCCACAGGAGGCCATCACCAAAACACCAGCTCACACTGTGTATAGTTTGGTCAAGTGTCTTGATGCTGTGATGGTTGATGTAGCCAAGTTTTAATTCACTTCACTTCAAAATATCTCAGCAATGTCTGAGTAACAAAAAAAGTCATGCAAAAGTACAAAAAAAGCAAAAACACTATGATAACTGGTAAGTACACGTGTTAAGGCTCTAAGCTTTGTTTTAATTGTTGTTTGTGAGAAGACACATATGGATTTATTTAATTAAACCCTGTAAGATAAAACTCTCATGCATGCATCACAGAATGACATTTAAGTGAAATTTCTTCCTGCTGGATTATGCAAGAGGCAAAAGTGGCAACCTGTGCTTGCAATTAATTATTAATAAGTTAGAAATAATTAATTTGTATATAACCAGAGTCTTTGTTATGTTATCAGAGCCTAGCAAGTGTACAGATTGTGTCTGTATGACTTTCTAATCAGTACCACGTCTAATGATACTTAAAGGTAACACAAGTTAAAGCTACTGAAGACAAAAAGATAAATGCTGAATGTTATCAGTTGAGAGGAGATGTGTGAAAAGATCATTTAAGCTGGAATCTGCTTTAAGAAGTTTCAAAATGCCTAAGAGAGGCAGTCTCAATTTCCAGCCCTGGCAGACCAACGTTCTGCTACTTTTAGGCGCTTCTCTGGTCCAACTCACATGAATGAGAGAACTATCTGTGTCCTCAGCTCTAGCCCAGTCCTGCTAATGACCAATGAGTTGATTCAGGGCTTCTGAACCACAAAGATATCCACAAGTTTCAGGACAGTGGCCCCAAAGGGATAGAGTTTGAAACTTCTGGTCTAAGACAAAACCTTTTCTTTGATGTTAAGAAAGTAGTTTTTATCTCGATTCAGTTACACTCTTCATGCACAAACAAAAAAATTATCATAAAACATCAAACATTCAAAGTACTAGCCATCCCGTTTGCATCATAGTTATATAAAAAAATGCCAATCCAATTTTATTTTATTTTATTTTTTGCATATTTCAAATTTAAGAGACCACAAAAGGGATAGCAGAAACACATCAACACACCTGTCATCTGGGCACAGTATCCTGCCACAACACCTACCTTGCGTTTGTGCTCTTCCTCCTCCTGCATCTTGGCCTGAAGCTTCCTCACCATCACCTGCCTTTTCCACTCGGGGATGGCTTTCCCCTGCTCGTCATGAGTGGGCACCAACGCCTCAATGTCGGCGAGGCTCGTCTTCCTTCCCGACTCCGGCTGCGCCGCGCCAGCTCCACCGTCCCCATTGACAACGGAGTTGGAGGGCAGCTGCTCGTAGCTCGCAGAGCCTGACATGTTCCTGGGACCAGTGGGGCTGGGGCTGGGGCTGGGGCTCGGGGTGACGGGTGGGGAGGTAACAGGCGGGCTGGACTGTGAGGGGGAGGGTGGCTGGGCGGGTGGGGTGGGTGTTTGGGTCTCTGGAGGTGTGGTGGTTCCCTTAAAGGAGACGAAGACACCTATTACACATCACAGTCATCCAAAGTAATTGTAATATCTGTGACTGAACTGCTGGAGTCTGTGGCTCTGCATCGTCCACCGTCTTGTAAATGAATTCAAAAGCGCCAAAAGGCTTTGGACCTACATTGTTGCCTGTCGTCCCCGTGTTGGAGAACACGGTGGTGTAGCCTTTACTGTGAGGCGTGGGCTTGAGGCTCTTTCCGGCTTTGATCTCTGCCAGCAGCTCTGAGTTGTCTCCGGTGGGGGACATCATGTTGAAAGATTTTGTGCCTGCGGACAAAGGGAGAGCGCGGACGAGTGAAACCAGGTAGAAAGACGGACGAGAGTGAGAGACAGATCCACTAAAGAGAAAAGAGACACTGGATGGCGTTTCAGAACTTAAATATTTTATCCAATCAGGCAGATAACAATGTTGAACCGGAGCGTGTTGAACAATGATGGGAGGTCAGTCGGGTCATCATGAATAAGCTGGACATGCATATTTGTTTACAGAGGTTTGCATTTATACTCTATGTGGGTCTGCTTGAGACATGTCTGATTAGATCACTGTTGCCTTAGCAACACCTGGACCAAGCTTGGATTAAAAGGTAACCATAACACAAAACCTGGCTACAAACTTCTTACTTTATCCCTTTATCTGAAGAGATACAATCAGAACAAAGCTACAAAATACACAATGTTCCTTTTTTTAATACAATGCATTCAGCTTGCTAAGGGCTTATAGAAGAGTTTTAGAGAAATGCCCTCAAGAAGGATATCAAAGTTACCGAATAATTATTTTATTCCTGTTTTCAACAGCAGTGTTTTACATCTATTGTGCTTTTTTAGTTCGAGGAAAGAAATTAATCTCCCTCTTTTATCACCTCACGCTCTACGTATGTTGGGATTTCTACATTAAAGAAGGCATTTTGACTCAGTTCACAAAGTGAAAAGAAACAACAACAATGAATTGTTTTGGACAAGCTACAGCACTGGTTTAATTAGAAATACATGAGCCAATTGGCTCATGTATTTCTGACTAGAATAAGGCTAGAATAGGATGATTTTCCACTAGACTTGCAACATCGGTGACAAGTCGTTTGGAAACATCAAAATCCTAACTTGCTCAGTCCATAAATGCGCCACACCAGGCCGTGCTAACAACAACGCTATGTAGTTTGGAAGCTGAGAAGAAGGCTTGAAGTTATCTATTTACAGTTTCAGGGTGTTAAAAAAAGATACCAGAGGAAGAACAAAAGCTGCAAGAAGAAAAGGGAAATATTTTCAGCAGAGGCATGCCAGATGTTAACAGGGCACTACAACGCAGAAATAAAACAGGCTTTGTTTTTAAATGTTTTCAGGTAGGAAAAATAAACTGTCCACCACATAAAATTGGCAAAGGAGTGAAGTTATGTGGGGACAAATTTACTAGATAAAGCTGATCTCATAATTTATAAGTAGATCTTTATTTATTTGGTTTTTAATCTCTGCTTCTTTTCAACACAATAGATTTGGAAATGTTGGCTAGCTGCTGGAAATCTAAGTTGAGGTAATAATTTACATTCTCAAGGGAATAAACACAACTGTGCTGTTACAATATGTTGCTGAAGACTTGGAATCACTTTGTATGTTTTAAATAAGCAAAGTCCTGCTGTACAGGGACACTTCTGTCACATGAGAGGCCTGTGAGAGCAATCTCACCACATTACGAATAATAAGAACATTTTATTTCCAGCAGGAAGGCTGGAAATAAATATTTTTGAACACTGCTCATGATAGTTCTTAAAGAGAAATTTGAATCAGCTAAAATGATTATTGATAAGTCAAAGCTTAACTAAAGCCAGATTTCAAAAAACAACCACAAATTTTTGATCGGTCCATCTCTAGCTTTAATCAGAGAAAAAAAAAAAAATGATAGAAATGATAAGAAAATGCATGTGTAGTAAAGTTGTCAGTTGTCTTAATAAAAAAAAACAAAAAACCTTTGGATTCATCTTTCACTGAGACTAATCCGTTTGTGGTGAGAGAAAGGTGTATTCACGGTAAAAATAAAAAACAAAAACTTTTACAAAACAGATTTTCTATTGCTTTATTCTTGTGCATGTTTATAATCTAATGATTATATCAAATCAATCTTATCCTTAACTATATCGAAGGGTTAATTATAATACTCTTATCTACCAATACGTAGTTTAGCACACTAAAATTCATTTAAGCCTCAAAACTGCTTTCAATTTAGTATGAATGGGATCTTATCAGGATCCAAAGAGCCAGTCGCAGCCTCACCTGTTTCACAGAACGTTAGCCTTGAATGTAGCAAATGTCCTCAATTCCTCATTGTTTACCCAGCTTCTGTTTGCAGAACGGATAAAAACAAAAGTCCCTCGGTAAAAGTGTTCCCTGTCGAGGCGACCACAATGGTTTGGACGGACACAAAGACTGGCTAGCGTGCCACCCCTCCTCACGCTCACCCGCGCTCCCTTTCTCCCATGTAGGAGGAGAGAACAGCTTTCTACTAAAGACCCATCATTGCAGTTGGGGGAAATCTAAAGGAATCACCAGTAACTGGAAGTGACAGCAAGCCACTGGAAAGCTGGCCAGGAATTAACACACAAACACACGCACACAGAGAGGCCGTCAAATCGTCGGCTAGTCAGTCCACTCGCTGCCAAACCAATCCTCTCAAAGCTCGCACACAGTTCGCTTGGCATTTTGTTACATCTCATGCGACGTACGATATGGGATAAAAGAACCAGCTGGTTTGAGTTGACACGGTGTTTGAATCTGTTTAACTTTTCAAGCTACAACCACACACTTCCCCGTATTTTACAGAAGCTTAATTGGTAGATTAAAACAAAAGTATTACATAAATCAGAAGAAAAAATGTAGTTTTCAAAAATCTGAAACTTGTTACATGCATTATTCTCCCGCTACTTTCCTTCAATAACTCTAAATGAAATTCTTCAGACGTTCATTATGCAATATGTGGATTAAAACTAGCACTGCAAAAGCGTGTTAAAAGAAGATCAGGGAATGAAATGCTAACATAGGAACCCCGAGAAGCTAAACCACCACCACACTAGTTTACATGATCTGGTAGTGGCAGCATCATGCTGTGGGAAAGTCTTACTCCAACCAGGAGAGGGAGGCTGATCAGAGATAACATGAGCATGGATGGGTTGAATAAAGGACAATGCTGGTGGAAAATAATTTACAGGTGGTAAAAGACCACAAAGGTTCCTGCTCCAACAAGAACCTGCAGCATGAGCTTCAGTGGAGCAGTTTAGAGGAAAGTGTTTGGGTGAGTTAGGATGGCCCAGTTAAAGTCCAGTCCTAAATCCAATTGACTAAACACAGCTAGACTTAAAACTTTCAAAGCTACCAGAGACATGGCTTGGAAATTGGTATTTCAAATAATTTGTCTCATGAGGGCTGATAACAAATGTACAAAACAAAAGTTTTAGATTTTCTAAAAACCTTATAATAATAATAATAATAATAATAATAATAATCATAATAATAATAATAATAATAATAATAATAATAATAATAATAATAATAATAATAACTTCATGCTGGTCTGTCAAATAAAATCCAATATAAGTTTAATAAAATTTGTGGTTGTATTTTGACAAATTGCAAAAATGTTCAAAGGCTAAGAAATTGTTTGACAAAATACTAACCTATTTAAATATAAACAGGTTAAAAACAAAGAATTATGACAAAAACCTCATACCTTAAGCTTTTCCTGACAGGTCGTTATTACAAAGATCCAGGACCGTTAATAGGTGAGTTTTAACGGGCTAAAAATCACACTGACGTTACACTTCAGTGCATCTGTTTGACTTTATGAGAAAGCAGCTGTGTCTCTGCGGACAGATAAATCCTGTTTAAAAACAGGGTGTTGACTCAGCGTGACATGTGGAGGAGTGACAGGTGCACAATGTAAGAGAAACAGCTTCACCTAATGAACATCTCTGCCTGCTCTCAGTTCAGACTCGCACTTTAGGTCTGCATGACACATAGTAGACAAATGGGGAAATTTAGGTGACAGATGTGTCTGTGGCCATTTCCTGGACTTGCAATTCAACACATGCATCTAGTCTGTCAAAGAGCAGCCGCAGCATATCAATTCAAGGCTCTTCGCTTTTATGGCCTCCATGTGACGTTTTGTTGTCTGATCAGAGGCTAGAAGCAAATCCTATATTTCCTTAGACCACACTGCTCCTTACAGCGTTTGAGATAAAGATGCAGGGTGTAAAAACTGTCCCCCTCTTTCCTGCCGTTAAAAAATCTGCAGAACAAAAGAGCTTGACAAACTCTGCAGCCTATCCGGCCGGCCACCTGCCTCTCTGTATCACCGCAGCAAGAAAAGCAGTAAAGTCATTTTGAGCTTTTTGTGTTTCTGGAAAGGTTTTGTTTTATGACTATAAGAAGGGACAAATTAATAGGGACACAGCCCTCTTTATCTCTAAGCAGTTTATGGGTATTTAATTTATTAGATAACAGTAGGAGCTGAAATAAACCAGACAGAAGGAAGTTATAAAATATCTGATGTTAAGTCAAGTAATTGACACTTTACTGCAGCTGGTATTCAGTTTTCCTTTTGCTTTAAAGCGAAGAAAATGAATATATCCTCGTTTAACAGGACGTGCTTACTCACAAGCTGGAATCATCCAAAATCATCTTTCTTTTAAGGATTTCCATTTTTACGTCCTGTTGGTTTTAGAACAAAACCGTATTTCTTAGTTTCATTGTACATCATTATGTAAAAAATAATATTTGTCTCCAAGTTTTTATTAACTGTGCTGACAGATGAGTTAAATAAAATAGATGAAGATTAAAGTGTGCAAAATAACCCCATTAATTATTGAGAAAATTATAGATAAATTAATAAAATAAGTAGTTTAAGCCTTGTGACTTAAATGATTATTATATAATCTATATTTTTTACAGCATTTCCAGTGGTCTAATATAAAAAAAATTAATTATCTGGATTGAGGTACTTTATTATTGTTATTAGACACATTAAAATTGACATTCTGTAAGTTGAATAATTGAACAATTAAAAAACTTTTTTTTTAACCTCCTTTACTGTCCTCCTTACTGCGCATGTTGCAATAACAAGTTATTAATAATAAAGCAATTATTTCTTAGCACAGAATATTGTCCTCTGCTGAATAAATGTGCCCAATTAAAAGGTTGGATTCTTTTATTTTTTTCTCTGTGTAATTAAATCATAAAGCTACAAAAAAAATGTGAATCCATATTAAAGCATTTTAGTCACATTTATAAAGGGTAAAAATGTGGAAAGCGCTACGAATAAAATACATATAGATGATGACTTAAAAAATGTACTAAATGACTGCTTTATCACTTCAGAAAAAGACAAATTGATGGCTTCCTCCTGCAAACATTGAGCTCTATATTAGACGATCTTCCATTCTTCCAGCTCTTATTTTGTCACATGATTTTCCAACTCAACTTTTTAATTCAGTTTGAGGAGCTTCTTTGTCTCATATGTTAAAAACTATTTAATTCCAGTGACTGTAGAATAAAACCAGCACATTGTGAAGCTTCTGAGACAGTGAGGAACACCGGATGGATCTGTTTTAGTAAACAAGAGGAAAAAAAGTGTAAAAAAAAAATAGTAAAATAGAGTCGTGTGAAAACAATTAGGTTGCTCTATTACAGTCTGTATGTTTTTTTTGTTGTAATTTTTGTAACACTGGATGCTCAACAGAAATAGATTAAATCATGTAATATATGTAAACAACAAAACCAGAAGAAGCTTTTTTGCAAAATGTAATAAAAATACATTATCTGTCAAGGAATAGATTCAGCTACTGACTATTCAAAATTGGAGTCAAAATCAGAATCTGATTTTTTTGCAAGGTTTCCACACAAATAAGAAATTTGATTTCTGTTCCTCACGCTACGCATATATAAACTTTAAAGGCAATTTTTAAAAAAGGATAAAAGGAACAGTATACATACACTTAGTGTACGTACTGACATTTTTTCACATAAAGAAAGGGGTTCCTGTTTTTTAAACATGTCTATTTTTGTTTCACAGCAGCGTAGCTGATGCCTTTTCATTGAGGCTCATTAGAGAAACAGCCTCAGAAAACAGTCTGGTTTTTGAAAATAAAACTATAAAGCGCTAATCTTTCGGTAAAAGTCCAAACAAATTGTTTCCAAGATAAGAAACTATTTGTTAGTGGTAGCACCTTATGATTCTGATAAGAGACTTAAAGAGTTCTCAAAAGTAATCTGAAATCAGCCATTTCACGATACAAGTGGAGAACATTCGAAACCACTGCAACTACACCCAAGATTGTCCTGAGAAGAGACTGCAAGATGCTAAAACAAATCCCCAAAACCTCAAAATGGTCAACGCAGAACCTAAAGCAAACTATTGCTACTGCTGATGTGAGAGTGCAAAGCAGACTGCAGCAGTTTGTTTCATGTAAGATGCACAAGGAACAAACATTTACTCTGCAAGAAAAACAAAAAGCCCAGATTGACAGTTCCCTCAGAAGAAGGACTTCTAGAATAGTGTTCTTAAGGCAGATGAATAAATAGAAACTGTGCAGAAAAACCACAAAATACTGTTTGAGGATGAATAGATGTAAAAATCCTGGACCGAGTCAGGATCCTGATTGAATTGAAATGTCCTGAAGTGGCTTCAGAAGGGCTGAACGACCTGGAAAACTCTCAAACATCTCACAGCTGGAGGTGAGGAGTGGAGCAAAGTTTCCTCATGTCGAACCCGCTGGAAACATCCCACTGAGGTTGTCGCAGCTAAAGAGGCCAACAGCAGCTGTGAGAGGTTAGGGTGTCCAAACTATTCCTCCACTCAGAAACCACTTTTCTGGTCATATGTTTTACTTAATAAGTAGAACGAATGCAATTAAAAGACTTTTTTTTTTCCTCGAAAAAATGTCTGAATTTTTTTTTTTTTTCACATGGGTGCGTCTATGAGGAAGCTAAAGTGGATATAAAGGTCTGGGAAGATCCTGACATCTATCAGGTTAAAGTCTCAGTTTGTACTTACTCTTCATCTGTCTAAGCGGCCCTCTGTCTGGGGGGGAGATAGAGACATTCCCGCCTTGAGAGCATCGAGGAAAAACCGCGTCAGGCAACGAGAGAGAGGAAGAAAAGACAAAGACATGCAGAGGAAACAGATGAAAGTGCAAAGATGTAATGAAAAGAAATAGACAGAAATATTTAGGACGTTGACAAATTCAATCATAGACCAACTTATTTTATTTTATAAGGTAATAGTTTTATCTTGTTACTCTTCCCCTTACTCCCGCTTTATGGATGGTTTACTTTCGAGCATTGTGCCACATCTGGATTTTCACCTTATATTTCTCCAACAGCTACTGAGGACTGTTCACAAGCAGTAATGCACGAGCAATAAGTTTAGTAACTTCTCATTCCCAACGTTTCCTACAAGCAGAGCGGCGTGTGTTTAGTGAGAGAGTGATATCGGGCAGAGGGCCACTTAAGGAAATAACTGAACTCTAAACCAGATCTAGGGGTAACGGGACGCCCGCATCATTAATTTACAATCTGGTACTTAGAAGGCCAGGTTTGAACGCCGCTCAATGATAAATTGGTGGCTGACACTGACACACACACACACGCACACACACACACTCCACTTTCTAAGAATAACACAGTAAAAGTATGCAAGCAAAAAAGTGGGGAGACTTGAGGAACAACCAAAGGAGGCACTCACTTCCTGATGAGGAAGATGGGCGCCTGTTGTCGGTGGAAGTGGAGGTGGAGCTGGGGGCGGTGCTGCCGTTGTTCTGGGTGGTTTGTGGCCCGGTGGGCAGTGGAGGAGGAGGAGGGGGCGTTGGCATCGGGTTGCTGGGGGGGAGAGGAGGCGGTGGAGGCGGCTGCGGAGGCGACACAGATTCCTCTGTGGTGCCATTTTCAGAGGTGGGGGCGGGACTCTCTGCAGGCTCCTCCAATAATACCGAACCCTGAAGGAAAGAGGAGGAAAACGCAGATGATGTCAATGACGTGACGCATCCTTAAAGTCGTCTCTTTCCTAGAGTTCGTTGGTGGTCAACGATCGGGCGAAGAGGACAGAAGTTTTAGCAATCATCGTCCCTTGGAGCGTCTTATTGAAGTTCCCTCTCAGCTTTTCCCATTTCTCATGGCACAGCCACAAAGCTGACTTTGAGATTTTATTTGTAAAGAACTGACATCGTTAGATTGTTTATTGGAGTGGGCAATATGGACTTACAGTATATCATGATATTTTGTGGCACTATTGTGATAACAATAAAAGTGACAATAACTACTCATCTTTTTCAGGTAACTATTGCTGTGACCGCATGGCGCCGCAGTTATAGCCTCAAAAACACAAACACATTTGTGATGCACTTCTTTAGGACACCATGAAGGAGTTTGATTTGATCACTAAACTGCGCACAGTAACAACATTTAATCATATTTTCAAATTTATTGATACATTGAACAAACAGAGGAGAAAATAGTAAAACTAACAATCCCGACGGTTTTAATTGGAATTGGAATTAATTAATTAATTAATTGGAATTTATTGTGGCAACAATTGACCTGTCCAGGGTGACCCCGCCTCTCGCCCAGAACGTTAGCTGGAGATGGGCACCAGCACCCCTCCGAACTCCACTAAGGGACAAGGGTGTAAAGAAAATGGATGGATGGATGGATGGATGGATGGATGGATGGATGGATGGATGGATGGATGGATGGATGGATGGATGGATGGATGGATGGATGTGACAACAATTAAATAAAATTGTATTATAAGGAATTAATCTTATTCAAATGATGAGTAGCATGATAAACCCCCATCCCAAATTGTTTATGTTGATTAAATAACCAGTAACACGTTTATCATGTCTTTCTTGTGAAAAACCGTCAGCATATTTTGAGCTTGCATGATGAAAGTCCTGTACTTCTGCTATGAGGTGTAAAACTATTAAATTCTTGCAAAGGCTGCTGCCAGGGACAGATGCACGCCTTGTTCTCGTTTCCGGACGTCTCTAACCAGCTCATAAAGACACAATACCCTCACACGTATAAGGGAGCTAATATGACCTAATCCCACAGGGGGGAATCCTGTGCAGAAAACGGAGCGAATGGACCATCTGTCACTGCAACTGATAGTCCTGCACGCGTCGGCACGCTCCAAAACCATGCTGGAACTCAGCTGGAGGCGCATTAATGGACTGTGACATCTAACTGGATCTCCCACCGCCCTCCCCGCCCCCCCGGCACTCCTCAGACGCGTGCTCATCATTGTTGCTCCCTTCACTTTCCAGGCCTCCCCGGGGAGTTGAGGTGGAGGAGGAGGAGAGAGGAGGGGCATCCAGATGGGTCATGGCGGCACGTGCCGGTTCCCTTGATTAGCCCTTCCATCTGCTGGGGTCCTCGGAGACAGGGAGGGGCCCCTCTGGGACTCTAATTGGCTCAATGAGAATTATAGCATGTGTCCCCCCTGAACACCCGCCACTCCTGATACTCGTGGGAGTTTCGGGTTTCTCCAGGGACATTGATCATTGACTCCAGCTGACTATTTATTCATCCTCTTGTGCTTGTGAAGTTATGTGGAAGCAAACAGGTGGTTTAAGCAGAAATTTACTAAAACGCTTCAGTATTTATCAATGAACCCAAATTAAGACTTATAACTAACTGCACATGTCCATATATGTAGCTTTAATCAGAACCTGTCATTTTGAATTAATTGTTTTGTTTTATGGGATTTCTTGACAAACCAGAAACAGAAGAAGCATTTATTTAATTTACTTCCTAGGTGTAATCTATCTGGAATAAAATTTATTAAAGCGATTTGACAGGCAGCGTTTAGGGGCTTTAATAAATAAATAACAGGATTTTCAAAATGCATTATTAAATTTATTTACTTTGATTTTATTTAGATTTTTAAATTTGGCAATAATCAGATTTGCCTCTTTCTTGTTTCGAGCGTGTAAATTCACATTTCATTCACATTTATTAATATCAAAAATACCTGTACATAATATTATTATATGTACAGATAATATGATCTCTATTATTTTAGAGATAAATAGCAACTAAAACTAAATAAACTTTTTATACCAGTATGCTTTCACTTTTACTACTATACACTTTGCACTTTTGTTTTTAAGTATTAGGAATATTAATACTGTAGAGAATAAAAAATAGATCCATTCTATTATGTAATCTATTGTACATCCTACTATACAAAACTATATTTGTTTTTATGTACTGAAATAAATTATTACTCATAGAAAAATGTTTAAATTAGATTTTAGTTGCCGTTTACAGGAAGCTTCATGTTCCAGTGCCGGTCATCCGTTTAGCAAATGACGCCTGTATAGAACATTTCCACAGAGGGGTGGCGACAAGAGGTGAGGTGATGGAAATGAGGAGTTGGAGACTGGAAAATAAAGGGTCAAGACAGTAAAAGATTATGTAACACACTGAGTGGTGACGCTCAGGCAAATTACTGCCCGTCAGTGTTGTAACCTTATGCCGATGCACATTCGCTCAGCTAAACCACACCCAAAGCTCTGACCTCACGCAGCAACAGCATGTCCAAGCTACCCTGGACGCTGACAAAACACATGCTAAATAGATACGTTTTAATTTTCAGTGAACAGAAAATGAACTTTCTGCTACGTCAGCATCCAGCATGAGTGAAGCTTTGAGAAATCTTGCTTTGAGGCCCTTTCAACGTATTTAGATGTCTTCAACTTGCCTCCTCGTTGGGCGCCATGACTTTGCTCCCACGGGGCTCCGCCGTGTCGCTGCCCAGACTCTTGTAGTAGTCCCCAGTGCTGGGCTGTTTGTTGAAGCTCCTCGACTTCCTGTTTGAATCCACTCGCCGCAATTTCTCGTGGCTCTCCCCAGGAGTCAGCTGCTTCACCGATTTGAAAAGAGAAACGGACACGTCAGACTAAAACTCCCCATGCATGTTTTTTTTTCCTAGATGTTTTTCATACTGTGTGAAAAATTAATCCATGTTTATGAATGTGTGTGGGTGGCAGGAGGAAAGATGAACACCAACAGAACAATGTATTTACTCTGTTTTATTGCTGGATTAGCTCTCTCGTGGGGACCAAAGCTGCTTTATTTGAATAGCAGAACAAGGCTCTAATTTAGCCCATGTAAAGCCCTGGCATCCACTGTATGTTTCACCATCCAGAGCCTGTTGGGTCACATTCAGATTTTATAATGAAGTGAATGAGTGAGCAGATCACTGACGTAGCCACGTTCGTTTTAGGAATGTCACTTTCTGATTTAATATTGTGTAGAAAGCTGGATTTCTAATAACACGACATCAGTCAAATATTCTCAATCACAGTTTTCGCCGTACAAAATGTACCTGACAGGCTTTACATATTTAAAAGCTTCAGTGAGAAAAATGTTTCATTTTCACATGCCGGTGTAAAAAAAAAAAAAAAAAAAAAAGAGTTATATTTCCTGTTGGTTTCCAAAATGTTTCCTTCATGCAAAAGGCCTTAAATTTTGCATAAAGTTATTGCCTGAAAACATAGCTATGCAACAAAACTTCCTGATTCCCATACTTTATTTGTCTGTTTCTCAAAAACTTGTGTTGCAAAAAAAAAAAAAAAGTTTTGTAAAGGATACAAAAAAATTCTACAGGTACAAAAATCTGTTTCAAACACTAACATGAAAAAGATATGCAAGTTTTAAAGCAAAAAAAGCTGCTTTGCCTTTCAAATCCAAGACTGAGGAACAGATTTGTATTTATTTACATCCAATATGCTGGCACACAACTTGGACTTTTCTTTTGTTTTTTTTGTTTCACTTAACCCAAACCAGCACCTCGAGTGTCGGGACGTCTGACATTGACGTGAGTGAGCAGAAATAATTGACAGCTGACCCCTGACCTTCTCTCTTCCTGTGCGCTCTTGTGTTCTGAGTTCCTACAAGCTTCTTTAATTGTGTTGACTCCTGTCTGCTGTCAAAGAGACGGTCCCTGAGCGCTCATCAGCAGGCTGGGTAAAGCGAGCCCGGAGAGATGCAGATGGATCGTCGTCCCCCGGGGAGACGGGTCGACAATAGCAAATGTACAAAGTGTTTTGCCAACCCCCCCACCCTGCCCCAACCCCCCACAATCTCTCATTTACGCCGACTCCTTTTCCTTTCATCACACATATCTGTCTGTCAGCAGGAAGTGATATATGGCTTTTGTTCATGTGTTTCCTTATGTTTTTACATTTTATTAGCGTACAGAACAATATCAAGTTTGTTCAGTCTGTTTGTCGGACATACACATTTACATGTCATCAAACACAGGGAGGCAATTTGCGTCAAAAAATAAGATCGCTTCCGATGTATAATTTAAAACAACGAGCTTTTTTTCTTTTGAGCAGAAAAACTAAACAAGTCTGATTTATTGCTCGAATGTAAAACTGCTGAAAAATGCAAATTGGAAGGAGATAAGCTTTGCAGAAAGAGGAGCAAAAAGAAAAAAAAAAAGAAAAAGTAAAAATGTCCTCAGAAAAGCAAACACACTTTACCTTACTGCTAGGAGTCCACTGTTTCAGCGGCTTTCTAGTCTGGACCGAGCCACATCCGCGCAACCCGGCGGAGCCGATGGAGAGCAACTGTCACCAGATCCAGCGCCTCACAAACTCTCCGCTCAGAACCTACGCCTGTCACTCTACCTGGACCTCTCACTTTACCCACAGGCCTCATCAATAAGCTATTGGGCCAGCTCAGCAGCGGCTATGATGTCACCACGGTCCCGTTGACTGACCACACCCCGGACCCTGCCCAGTTCCGCTTATGCAAAGCACAGACTCCCATGTGTTCCTCTGGCCGTCGCCTTCGCCACACGCAAATCCTGAGAGGCTTTGGGATTATCAAAATATTCCAGCCTTCAGTGCAGGTGCAAAACCTTTCGGGAATTGCACTTACAGCAGGAATAGTGCCAAAATAAAATAAATGTTCTGATGGATTGCATTCCAAAGAATTAAAACTGGGACAGGCGTTAGCAGTCGTGGTGGTTAGGGAGGTTTGTACGCTGCACAATAAACTTTTGCTTTGAGTCAAATGCAGACAAATGAGTCGAGCCGTCAACAAAATCCACCCGAGGCTCACTGCAGCGTTAGCATGCAGGTGGATTGTTTTTCACTGTTTGGTACACAGAGATCCGATTTGTGTGTCTTTTTGTGCACGTGTGTGTGACTGTGTTCTGAGAACCAGACCTTATCTAAATTATTAAGACGGGGTGCGCCCTGAGCTGATCACCTGGGCACGGAGGGGAAAGCGGGTGACACAAGAGTTTCATTAAACATCTCCCCCGCAGGGTCACACAGTAACACACAAACACAAAGAGCTCGCTATGGATGCGTTCTATGGGAAAAACTCACTGACTCACCATTTATAACTGCAATGTGATCTATTTGCATTGCAGATGCATACACCCTGCCGATGCCTAAGCACATTTTTTCCTCCCTCAAACCAGCTGGCTGTGCAACGTTTTAGCTTCCTGCTGTTTGCATAAAAATATTCATCAGTCATTCTCAACCGAAGACCATGTGTCGTTTCTAACGATTTTATCCAAGCACAAAAGAATTAACCTGATAAGTCAAATATAGAACAAGAATTTTATTAGAAATTGTTTAAATTGGATCTTTTTCAACATTTTATGTGACAAACCAACACCAAACAGCACACATTTGTCAAGTGGAAGGTAAAAGATTATTGTTCTCAAATATTTTTTTTACAAATAGGAATCCATAAATTGGAAATATATATTCATCCATCTTTATTCTGGCACCGTCAGATAAAATCCAGTGGAAGATTTGATGTAATCTAACTACAAAATATTACACATCTCAGTATAAATACAGCTTCTCTTGAGTCAGATGTTTGTTAGACCATATTAGAGAACAAACAGCTTCACGAGATCCATGGAAAGCCGCAGGCACTTTAGAAATAAAGTTGTAAAGAAGATTAAAGCAAAGCCAGGTTAGAAAACAACATCCTGACCTTTGAGAATATCAGATCACTGTCAAATTCATCGTCTAAAAATACAAATGACGTAACCCAAACAAAGCAGGAAAATACAACTAAACTGACAAGCCAGGCAACCGCCAAAGAAGTAGCCATTGGGGTCGTGATAACTCTGGGCAACCTGTGGAGATCCAAAGCTCAGTTGACAGGACACCTACTAGTTTGAGCAAATGTGTTTTACGAATCTTATTTCAACAGGTTAAGTCTCTGAGAGCTGGGTCTCATTTAACCCTTTCATGCATGAATTATGATCCTTTGTGTCAGGATTTTTTTTCCAATTTTTTTGGATTTTCTTAAGGCATTAAAAAAAAGGTAGGAAAAGAAATTTTGTAAAAAAAATTATTTATTTATTTATTTATTTATTTATTTTTTATGTGATCAATTGTAATTTTCTCCAAATACAAAGTTGTTATTTGAAAAATACCTCAGTAGTATTGTTCTTTAGGGGTTATCTGAAATCACAATATTTTTTTTTACCTGCAAGAGTCGTCTACAGTAGAAGGAGGGACCGGGTCGGTCGACAAGCTTTTTTTGTTTGTCGGCCATATTGGATTTAACAAAAATAATTTCTTGCATTTGCAGCTGATGCCCAGTAGTTGATAGTGTATTTTATGATGCATTAGTGTCCACTTCAGTGGTCTGTGTGCATTTATAACATAAAAATCCACAAGAAGCACAAGAAAATGGCTTTTAGACAGCTGTCCACTGTGCATGGAAGGGTTAGAGAAAGTGATATTTGAAAATTAATGTTACGGACACTCAAAATATCTCAAAAGATATTTTGAAAGGAATAATGGGCAAAAGATATGTTCAGTATGCACACATGCAAAGCTGCCAGAGACATATCCTTAACCCTTGTGTTTGCAAATGGGGTCCAACCGACCCCACACATGTAAAACTTGTATCACTTGCCTGAGTCCTCTACGTTTGCCTCTGTCCTCGCACACACAAGGGTTAAAAGAACTAAATAAAGCAAGATGAACTTTTTGGATGTAAAATAGCAATAAGTTAAAAATCGTAAAGCACATCATCTCGCAATCACAGTGCCAGACATGGCAGCAATCAGGAAAACGCATTTCTCATGACAGAGTCAGATCAATCATTGCTGCGCCGCTAAATAAACTCATTCACATCTCTGTCAGAAACACAACTCCACAATGTCTGTATAAGCAAACCAGCAGAAGCAGAAGTGACATTTATATTATTGCCTCTCGACACTGCTGCTCCCCTTCAGACGTTTGAGTCATCTGTGGCCCGATTAATTAGTGTAATTAAAATCAAACCCATCACATCGGGCTTCGCAATGTGTCAGATCAGAGGCCCGGCTCGCTAACAAGCACCTTCTGTGGCCTCGTTAGCCATGCTGACACAATAACATCGTTGTTGGCTCACCGGAGGAGAAGGCACACTGTTACAGAAGAGCTTCAGTCCATTTCATAAAAACCACTGGGAAGGGGGTTCGGGGATGAAGCAGCTAATTGCCAATTTATGACAAACACACAGCTCTTCCTGTTTCTCTGTAAAACATATGCTGATAAAAAAAAAAAAAGAAAATATAATTTCTGGGACATGTCTGTTTTTGATGTTCAGAAACTTTACTGACAAACTGCCAACACCGCTCGTACCTCCTTTTTGCTGCTTTTGCTGTCCACGTGCCGCAAGTTGCTTTTCACTTTCAGGAACTCGGCCGACTGAGGCTCTTGCGGAGGCGGAGGCGCCGGGTAGCTCGGAGCCGGAGGGAGATTCGGTGGAGCTCGAGGGGGAGGCGGAGGAGGATAGGTTGGAGGAGGCGGAGGGTTGGGTACACCGTCAGCTCTGATCTCGTTCCTGCTGGCCGTGTCAGCGCCGATGTCTGGGTTCAGCATGTCCATGTAGGCCTGCATGTCTGAAATGGCCGACTCTGATGCACCTGTAAGAAGATGGCGGTCTCACAACAATTCAAGCAAAAATTACGCACTGGCAACGGTTTTTAATTTGCACAATAAAGCTGAAATCGGGGATCTGATTTCCTTTTATTTGTAAGCGGTTTAAGTATGACTGAGAAAAAAATGACTGGTGTCACTACATAGAACTAAATTTATGTGGATACACCACTAGGGTGCAGCACCTGTACATAAAGCACCTGACATCAAAAGTGTAAATTTAAGGCAGTAACCAAACAGAAGCATTGTAAAATACTAAATAAATGGATGAACAGATAAATTTTTAAGTTTTAATCCCGTTGTTTAAAACGTCACAGACCTTGATGTGCGACTGAGTTCAGCTGGGTGGGAGGTCCTCGAGACATTGTAAGGCTGCTTCTCTTCTCTCCGGTGCTGGACTGGCTGGAGTTGGCAGAGTCGTAGTTGGACAGTGAGCTGGACGGCGAGCCGATGTCGAAGTGCGCTGCCTGGCTGGCTGGAGGCATGGTGGTGTTCGGGGAGGAGAGGCCCGAGTCCGGCTGCTTGGACTCGAGCTCCATCGAAGGGTCTCGAGACAAAACCCGATGCTCCACACTCTGTTGCAGGATTATGAAAGAAAGCATCACTGTACAGCGGCTCGCATTCACACTACCCGTTGGACTGTTTCAGATTTTGTCCGACTCAAACTTTAACACGTTTTATTGAGACTATTTTCCCCATCAGTTCCAACTCTGCTCCTGCAAAAGAAAAGCATTTCTCTTCAGCCGCAGAAGAAATTTTGCGTGTAGAAAATTTTAGTCTCATCTCATTTGTGATTCGATTACACACCAGTAAATCCAAGGCAAATGGTTACACTTCGTTTTATTTAGGGGTATCACATTAAAGGGAGCTGAACACCATGCATAATTTTTTTTCTTCCAATTCAAAATTATTCCCTGCATTGAGTTGGCCTGTATCATATCAAATTATTACTGAAATTTGTGTTCGTAACATATAAAAAAAAATCTACAAAACCAAAACAACTCTATATGACTCATTTAATTAGAAGTTAACTGTGTGCCAATTAGTTCCATTTTACAACTCAGAACAATTCTCATCATTATGAATTATCCATATGTTCAGACATCAGTTCATAAATCCTGTTGCCGCTCAGTCCCTGGTGAATTAAACGAGGAGAAAAGCATTATGAGTTTAATTACTGCACAGTAGTGAAACTTCTCACAGCTGATCAGAGCAGCTCTGGGGCTTTCGTCTTCTCCCAAAGTGCTCGACTCGTGTGGCTTCGTGTCCCTCGTGACAGAACAGAGAACATGAGGCAAAGGAGATATGTCTCCCCGGCACCAGCACTGTTATAATTACTCTGCACGCTCTGGGGCTTGAATTTGCTAGCGATGTAGGATGGTGGAAGTCAAAGAGTAAGTTAGTAATTAGCTGAAAAGCCTGGAATAAAGTCAGTTCGGTGAAAGCTACTTCACTTATAGTACATGCAACGGGTGTTTTACAGCTCAGGTCTCTGGGAATAACCAGAAAAAAACAGAGTGCCTGGTGTTTGATTTGTGTTAGATTCACAAGTAACCAAGTACAGTATGGTTATAGAATGGCTGTAATTAAATTAAATGCAATGAAAGTTTCAGGGTTGACTGAGTTAAATCTCTGTTTTGTTTGAGTTGCCCTCGCATGTACCCCACAGCCGACACTGCCTTATGTAACAGCAGCCATATTGAGGGCCCTGTAAATGAACTTGCACTGCCTCATTCATTGTGTAATCCTCCCTTATTAGAGACCCAGTTTTAGTGAGTACTTGTAAAGAATGAAGTTTAGTGCAGCGCTGCGGAAACTGTGAGAAACAAAGTGCGCTCTTCACTTCTTGTGTTTCGCCTGATTAACGTTGCTCAACTCCGGTCTGTCTAAATACTGGTGCAGTAAAAATTAAGGCATCAATTTTCAGCAGACTGTTTACAGAAAAAAGTGCATACTCCTAGCAAGTCTTTATACCACGGTTCTTTAAACTCCTAATCTACACGTGCTCAAAAGTACACATGCAGGCCTAAAAAGATACATACAACTACACACCTAGACTGGCTGTCCTTGGATGAATAAACTGAGTTAATATTAACCGAGAGCTCCAAACTCAACTCTATGGAAATGTGATAACCCTTTGTGGATAAGAGAAAATTTACAACAAATTTATGTTGCATAGCTATTTACTTGGGAAAAGAAATAAACATAAATCAAATAAATAGGCCAAAACTGTCCCCATTATAATGGATGTAAATTTCTTACAATGACAGTTTACATTACTTTTTGTGTTTATAGTTTGTTAAAATAAAAATCGTCCAGCTCCTTGAAGCAGTGTAGCATAAGCTTATTGTTTCGATGCAGCAAAGGCGCGTTATCATGTACTTATGCTTGCTATCATTTCTGAGAGTGGCGGCAGGTTTGTTTCACAAAGAATATTTAATTATTTAAAAAATAAAATGTGTTCAGGCTTGAAAACCAGAGGAATTTTATCACAAACCTCTCTTCCTTGACAGAGAGATTACCTCACAGCTTGGCTCGGTTCGCCAGCGGATCAGAGGTCAGAGGTCAGGACTCGTGGCAGTGGGACTTGTCAGCCACAGATCTTACCATGTTTTCCACTGTGCGCAGATACTTGGCACACTGGGAGTGGCCGTTGTATTCGGCCAGGTCCGCGGCCGTGAAGCCGTCCTGGTCCCGAATGCCCAGGTCCACGCCGTTTACCACCAGTATCTGACAGCACTGCGGAGCAGAGAGTTAGAGGGGGAACAAAACTTCAGTCAGTCTGGATTACTGATGACAAACTCATCAATGTAATTACCTCTCAGGTTAATTGGTTTTGCACAAACAGTGGGAACAGTTTAAAGTACTGAATGAATATCTAGAAGGTTTAAATGTGGCCCACAGTGCTGAGAGATACTGCAGTCTGCCAGAACTGTACTGTGAAAAAAATACATTGATACGTGAACGCTATTCTGCTTCCAACATTCGTGATACATACGTCTAGGAAATCAATGAAAATAAATCAGCCCTGAATAAAGACTTATTACAAAAATTATTTCTAATTGGCTCACAATGACTGAATATGATTGTTTTTGATTACCTATTTTTGATAAGCTAAAACAACGTTTAATTATAACATTGCTGTCCTATTTATGGATTATGACACGACTGGCTGTTGAACCTTTTCCACATTTTGTCATGTTGCAGCCACAATTTTTTAATACATTTTATGTGATTAAACCAAAGCAAAGTAGCTATAAATGTCAACACGAGGAAAATGATACATTATTTAAGCAAAATTTCAAGTAAAAATCCCAAAAGTGTGATATCCACATTAGTGGTTAAACAGTGTCATGTCCATTCTGTCCTGTCCTCCAGTGTTTTGGGAATTTCTCTCAACCAGTTTTATGCCTCTAAAGACTCAAAGACTGGCTCATTCTTCAATGCAAAACATGTAGAGCGTAGTCAAATAGGAGATTAGGTTTTCAGACAAAATCCTAATTTATTTAGGTCTCGACTTCGCTGTTCTGATGCTATGATCTAATGTAGCTCTGATTGTCCTGAGGGAGGCTAAACCTTCACTGTACTGACTTTCATCACCTTCTTCCACATTCTTGTTGTGTACCTTAAATGGATAGAAAGTCATTTCTGTATCCTTTTCACTTTCCTTCAGTGTAGACAAGACAGTTTGTACCTGCTGTCCCAAAGTGCACACCGTATTTCAGTCGTGATCGGCGCACATGCGCAGAACTGCCTTAGATTTTCACACATGATATCGTTTGGTTCTCCGGTATAACAGCTCAGGATGTTCTTTAACTATACTTGATGAGGAGCTGGTTAATAAACCACCTTGAAGAGAACTACTTTACATCCTTCACAATGATGAACATTCACCAAGCAGAAAGAATCTTTGTGCTGGTCTATCTCACAAAAAGCATGCGACATACGTGGAAGTTTATGGCAGAATATTTATGGGGTATGAATACTTTCGTAAGAGCAAAATTTCAACGCAGCGTTTTCTATGAGCCTGACCATAAAAAAACTTAGTCAAAACAGCAGGTCACTGGGGAGAGGGGGGGGGGGAAACCGTACGCTAGACGCCAGTTATTCAAAACAGACGGGCTGTAAAACCCAGGATGGATGGATGGATGAGCACAGAGAATGAATCATCCTCTACTTAAATACTCAGATTATTCTTTTCTTTTGTGATTTACAAAAGAGAAAAAAATTTATTTTTCAAGAGAGAACTTCTGATCGCCCCCACCTCCAGCTCCCCGTTCTCCGCTGCGTCGTGGAGAGAGGTTCCTCCCCAGTTGTCGGTGACTATCTCCCCTCCATGCAGCAGCAGCCAGCTGAGCACCTTTGCGTGGCCACGGCTGGCTGCGAAGTGCATGGCCGTGGCCCCGTCGCCGTCCCTGTCCGCCAGGCTGATGTCTGTGAAACTCATCTGCAGGGTGAGAAGACAAGAACAGACTTCACTGGTGTTCATTGATTTCTCTGCTCTTAGTGTAAATGAGAAGATGTCGTTAACAAATAGAAAGAAACAAATAAATTTGAAAGGATCTGACGTGCATGTCAACACACCAGCCAGACGATGACGGTGCTGTGGCCCATCTGAGCAGCAGCGTGCAGAGGCGTCATCCCGTCGTTGGCTCTGATGCTCGGATCTGCCCCACAGTCCTTGACCAGGTATTGGACGACCTCCAGATGACCCTCCTGGCAGGCCAGGTAGAGCGGCGTGGCACCATTCTTAGTTTGGGAGTTGACGACACTGCGAGTAAACAAAACCCACAAGCAATAAAAAGTCGTGGACAGCAAACCTGAGAACTGCTGCTACATTTGACCTGAAATTAGTGTTCTAACAATAAGTCATTAAAAAGGTGTTAAACAGGGAAACTTTAATACTTCATAGTTATTTTAAACAAGATTGTGCTTTTCCCCCCACCCAATGGTAAATGACTAAACGGCTAATAAAAAAAATAAAAATATGCCATCTTAAATATAACCAGTGGTTTTATGTCTTTTGTCAATGTTCTGGTTCTAACATGTAGTGCAGCTGTGGCGCATCGTATTTACTGAGATTTTATGTAATCCACCAAAACAAAGAAGCACATTATAGTGAAATCTATCGAGAGGATGCAAAGTTTTTCAACGTTTTTCACAAAGAAATGATTGATTTGATATTATGTTTGATATATTTACAGAACCACCTAGACCCACCATTTCAGCTGTTAACATGAACATGCGTTGTTCATGTTTTAGGTCAACGAAAGTCATTGAATCGCCACACCAGTCTCAAGCCTTTAGCAGTGTAATTGGTAAATGGACTGAATATTTATTACAGTTTTCTAGTCACACTGACCACTCAAAGCACTTTACATGGCAGCCACATTCACCAATTTATACTCACTAACATGCACAGATACACAGGTCAGTCGGAAACATAGGGACCCTAAATTAGAGGGAGGCCCTGGTTCCTTTTGGCATCCACTCAATCCATCTGCTGACCTGCTGACGCAACGGAAGACACGCCGCAAAATGTCAGCAACGTAATTCAGTAAATTATTTGTTTGGATTGTTATCTTCAACGGCCAATGAGTTGGATCAAGACAGCTGCCTGTTAACAGGTTTTCTACCATGACTTTCCTGTGTTTACGCTACGTTCCAGTTGTACTTGGAACTGGGAAATTCAACCTTCCCTGTCAGAAGTAAAGTGTGGTGGAAACATGTTTATTTACAAGATATACATAAGAGTGAATCTAAAATTATCTCAGGTCTGACATCAAACTCAGCATCAAATAACCGGAGCGCAGCAATAGCTCCATCCATCCTCTAATAATCTCTAACCAGTTTCCCAGCAGTATGATCCTGCCACCACCATGTTTCACAGTGGGGATGGTTCAGGCCAATTAGGTTTCATTGCATCAAATCCTTAACTCAGTGGTTTATATGCTTGTCAGGATTCAATTGTTGAGTAGTAACACTGATTTATCCGTACTTAAGACAATAATCTTGAATCGCATTTCATTTCATCAAGCAACACCGAGGTGGATATTTGAAAAGTGTGTTTTCTCGTTGTTCCAATGATTCTGTCTATTCCAGATACGAGCCCTTGCTGGAAAAGGGCTTTTCAACATGCAATCCCTATTTTTAGTCTCAGCTTTAGACGAGTACACACGGTCTGACTGTAGGTGCAAAACACATTCGTCTGTTGCTAAAAGTAGACAAGCAGGCAAGCCCGACTGAATCTCATTCTCTGTTTTTCTTTTTTCCCCCACAGGTCCGTAGCCCGGCTCTCAAAGCTAAACTATCCAGCCCTAGTGTCCCTTCTTGTCCCAGATACTCTCTGTCGCAGCGGGATGTCACGGAGGAAACGAGTGCTTCCCGACTAAATCCCATAAGGTCGTACTTTATTTGGACTCTGACAAATGAGCAATGAGTCACTTAAGAGGATTACCAACCCGCTAGCTTTGCTTGACTCGCAATGTGCCTAACTGAGAGTTGCAAGTGTAACTGAGCCGCTACATAAGAAAGCTAAAGGGCTACGTCTCACCTTTGCAGAGGCTGCAGTTAAATCATGCCAAACGAGTAGTTTTAATATCAGTTAGGCTTATTCTGAGCGACAAAAGATAAACATGCACTGTATCTTAGTAGAAAACAAACGTTGAGGGCCTCTTTGAATGATTAAGTGAAAAGTTCCAGGTAGGAACAATTAGATAATAAATATTTCAACACAAGAAAAGGAAGTCGTCTGTGTTTCTGTCATCAGGAAGTGAGCATGTTAATAAATCTTTCATTGATGTAACTAAAGTGGGTTTCGCTCACATGTTTTTCTTAGAAGGAGAAAAGTATATTTCTTTAATTAATCCTATTCACAAAACTTCACTGTGCTAAAGGTCACGTACTAAAGCAACCAGGACCAAACTCCTCAAAGTGGGGAGGCTTAGGAAGAGAAAAGGTGCTTCTGGAGAAGGAGTGTAGATTTCAAAGGGTTAGGAAAGAGGTTAGATTATTCTCTGACACAAGGCGCACCACCTCAGCAGGGACTGTACAGAAAAACTTCTCACACTGGAGTCGGAGACATATGATATATTTCCATTTCAGCTCCAGTGAGCATTTCGCCCTGGTAATAGTCTGACCACTGTACCTTTCCTTTCTGCAGTAACAAAGACTAAGGTTGTCTTCATTACAGTAATGTAATTGATGTCCTACAAATGGCCCTCCTGGCTAATGAAGGCTTTTGACAAGCTCAGTGTTTACGCCCTATTGAATAATGAAAAGTTTTGATGGAGAAATGGATGTCTCTTTTGCAACGTGTACATCTCACGTGTGTCTGTTCCATTGGCTATTTAAAAAGTGTTTTAAGTGTTTTACTGCACAGTTTTGAAAGTTTATTAAAGTTTCTAAAGGCCAAGGTTTTCTAAAGCATGAACATTCTTCAAGTCAGGTGTCAGTAAATAGAGATTTACACAATTAAAGTTTTGTTGCACAAGCAAGAGGCGCGGTACCAACACTTTTTGTTGTTTTTTTTTCGCAAAAGATATATATTTTTAGATTAGATTCAGAAACATTAAATAATCCAGAATGATGCCAAACATCAACAAAATACATATATTGTGTACATATTAATTAACTGGATATGGATGGTGTAATATTTTATCTAAACATAGTCTCTATGTAACTGTAATGTCATGTAATGTTGCATCTTTTCATTTTAAACCTGTTGTGAAGGATGTTTGAAAGGGGCTTTTATCCAACTTGCACCAGGAACTTATTAGGAGGATTATAGAGCACAGGAGGTGCAGCTAAGCTATTGGTTTAATCAAATACTGCCTTATTTACTCATTTCTCTCTGTGAGCTAACATCTTACCAGCTTCATGAAATAAACTACCTGGAGACAGAAACAGCTTTGAGAAGAAGTCATTATGACACTAATATACAGTTAACGCCTCAATAATGGCATCTTGAGAATGTATTCTAATACAAACACATTCTCATCAGTTTTAATTTTAACCGTATATTGAATAAGAGGTTATCATTAAGTCTGTATCTCTCCCTGACCTGAAACCTTTACAAAGTTTTACATTCAACAGGTAAAAACTACAGGTTTTTACAGACTAAAGTTTTTAGATGGAAATGGAAGAAAGGATGGAAGAATGGAAGAAAAAAGGAAGAAAGAAAAGGGAAAGATAGACACACAGAAGAAATAAACAAAATCAACAAAGTATTCAACGAAGGAAGGCGTACCATTAGAAGATATGGGGGAAACAGAAAAAAGCAACATAGAGAGGGAAGGACACAACTTTTTGACAATGGGAAAGAGACTACACTCTGAAAATATTTTTTCATACACTTATTTTATTCTTTCATATTTTTCCGGACTCTGTTTTCACTACTTTTTATGTAAGGGATTAAAATCCTCATGTTGAAGGCGTTAAATTTGTTAATCTAAAAGTCAACTCTACGAAGAACTAGAATTTACTAAGTTTCTATTTCAAGAAAAATATGGAGAAAAGGAGCCATCAGACAATATGTTCTCTCACTTCTGATGGAGCTTTAGATGGCTAACTTTCTGGATTATCTCAACACAGAGTGATGTCCTTTTAAACTTCATGCTGGAACGGTCTCCAGACCAAAGATCTTAAGCTGCACTAATTGATTACATAAGATGTCTGCAGCTTCCCACTTTCTCTCTCTCTCTCTTTCTCTCTCCCTCTATCTCTCTTTCATTCATTCATCCACTTTTTGTGTAATGAGGCTATCTGGTCAGGCACATTGAGCTTTTTGTTTTGGCTCACTGGGAGAGACTGGCAGATAAAATGCTCACTTAGACGCAGTTCGCAAAACTATCTAGAAACACGAATGCAATGACCCATCCTGCAACACGACAAAATGAAAAAATATGTGATAAAAAAAAGGACTGCATTTATTTCACACTAAGAGTTTTTTGTGTTTACGGATGTGGGATCAAGCTTTGGTCTCCACTGCAAGTTAATATTTGTGGAACATTTAATTGAAACATAACCATATTTGGGGACATACTTATGTCAGATTTTGGGACCAAATTCTAATCTACAATTTAGTAAAACAAAACAAACCAACTGAAATCAAGTCCTGTACTCCTTTTACAGGACAAATTGCAAACCTGAGCATGTAATGTTTCTTTTTTACCCACTAATTCTAACAAATAACAATTGTATCCATCTTAATATGTGAGAGGAAAATGATCTGATTTAAAGTTAGGCACGTAGTAGATGAATTAATTATTCATTAGTTTATAGTAACTTTCCAGGAGCCTTAAGAGGAAACATGATGATTGACCGATTTGTGGCAGAGCCGTAGAATCAGGAAATCACTGAAATACAACCTGTCTGATACTGTGGATTAGACCAGAATGGCTCAAAAAGCAAAACATACTGCCCTGATCTGAAGACGTTCAAGAACAGATGAGAAACATCTTAGCTTTTAGTTGTTTTTTTATTTTTAAACACATATTCCTCCTGGTTTCTCAGCCTGTTTCCTGTGTAGTTACTATCAATAAGAGCCACTAGCATCATAGCAAAAAGAAGAGCCAGGGAAACAACTGTATCCACTGGAGATATCCAAAGTGAAAACCAAAGTTGACCACAAAGACCCATTACTCCACATTTCCCAAAAAAGCATCTGGATTATTCCCAAGACTTTAGGGAAAATGTTATGTTGAGAGACGATGGTGGAACAATACTTCTGCTGTACCAACACATCGTTTCAGAATCAGAATATCATAACGA